GAGGGGGCCCGTGATGCTGCTGAAGCTTACTTTGATGTTCATGTGACCTGGTGGTACCTTCAAGGTGTTCTGGTAATGTGTAATTCAAGGTGTTCTGGGAACCCCTGACCGTGTTAACAGTCAATGAGGTGAGCAATCTGGTGTGGCAAACTCATGAACCTGGAGCAGCAGCCATCACAGCCTACAAGGAGGAGCGCGTATCTCGTGCACGGCAATTGGGAATTTCCACCGATGGCATTGCCACTCAGCTTGCTCTGTGAATGAAAATTGTCATTTGCCATCGGTTAACCTGCAGGTCGATTTGTTTGACACACAATGTCCCACTCTTTTGGGTCAGGTCCCGGTCATCTTGCTCAACTGCACCGCTCCGGCATTGGTTGGTGTGAACCCACTCCATGCAGCCATGCACATGAGCCAATATGTCCTTTCCGATTCCATCAAGGGCATTGGCCTTGTGTTGACACCTGTTTTTAGCTATACCAAGAACGGTGTCTGGAAAGAGGAATCCACCATCATGCAATACTTGGCCAATACTGGAGCGCATTGTGACCGCCAGTGGTTCTTGACTTTCAAGGAAAAGTGTGCCCAGGGCTGAGTTTTTGAGAAATGACAATTGAAATCCAAAGGAAATTTGTTTTGCTGATTGTTGTTTTCTGTGCAAGGATGCTCGGGATGATCGGCCTCTCACATATCCTGGGCGTGTTTTGATGCCAGCAGCTGTGGTGGGCAAAGACTACTTTTGGAAAAAGAGTGGGGTGCTCACATATGGCCGTACCGAATCGGTCAAGCAAATGGCCAGCAAAGATATGCGCACCATTGAAGACTGCAATGCATCTGCCTTGCCTTCAACGACTGCTGCTGATGGCGGTGTCCGCGGTGCGGCCAAGAGTGCCCAGATTGGGGGGCCTGCTGCCTCCAAGGTTCTAACTCTTTTGATTGAGTTTTGGCTTGCATTCATCGTTGAATGGGTTACATTTTGCTATGGTAATGTCAACTGTGCTGAGTTTGAGGATGGAGTGAACTTCGGAAATCAATCTGCCTTGGATTTCCTGGACCTTTTTCCAGGTGTTGGCAACTTCTTTGAGGCACACCCTTGGCAAAATACATGTTTGTATTGTTTGCTCCCTTCCATCGGTCTGTCAGGGATTCGTGGACGCGCAGCAGAGCGCAAATGTGAGCATGCATTACACATGCATGTGGCCTGATGACAATGCGGCGGATTGGTTCAAGACCATCAGTGTGGACATCTTGGCTGCCAGGTTTGTGGAGGACAAGTTGGTCGTGCCAGGGCACACGAGGACTGAAAGTTGCACATGAAACTCTGGAGGGTCACAGGCAATCTCATCAAAGCCATTCCTGCCACTTGCTCCTTGTGGCTCAAACCACCGGCACTAGACCCAGCCAGCGGCTTTGTGGGCGCCATGCCGCAGGCACCTCGATGGGAACCAAAGACGGAGAAGGAGAGGAAGCTTCGCACCATGATGGACAAGAAGTGGCTGCGTGAGAAAAAACGCCGTGAGAAGAAACGTGAGAAGAAGATGGCCCTCCACACTTCTCAAGGAAAGACGGAGCCAGCGCAAGACAGCCCTACCAGCCCGGCTGACTCCTTGGAGCCATTTTTGCCACCAGACCCTCATGGTGGGCTGCAGGACTTCAAGTTGGTGGAGACGCCAGTGAAGCAGCCGAAGCTTAGCCCAGAAAAATTTGTTGAGGCCATGGCTACCTGCGAGCCTGATGAGCTTCCCAGGGTGGAGGCCAAAGCTACCTGTGAGCCTGATGAGCATCCCAAGGTGGAGGCCAAGAGGGCCAAGAGTTCTGATGAACCTGCCAAACACCTCCGTCACTTTCGGGATGAATTTGACCGGAAGTTTTTTGAGTTGGGTGAGCCAAAGCCCAAAGCAAAGTTGTTGTCCAAGCCTTCGGCTGCTAGCTAGGACTCACCGTGAGGCAGAAAATGCATGCTTGTTGTCTTGCACTTTGCACTTTCTGCAATGTTCTTTACACTTCCTGCATTAAATGTGTTCTTGTTTGTTTGCTAGTTTGGCTGCCAGCCTTGGCGCCAGCCAGCCTTTCTGGGTCTGGCAGGCAACCTGGGACTGGCAGCCATTCTGGCTGGCTGCATGCTGTTTCTACTTGTTTTGGTTCTTCTGCGCTGTCTTCCTTCATTTGTTGCTTGCAGGATGGGGCCTGAATGCCCTGCGCAGACTTTGGAGCCTCTACCTGATCTTCCTCCAATGAAGAAGCTCATCTTTGCGAAGGTGTGACTGAGTGCATGTTCTTTCGTGCACAGTGCATGTTCTCGCCTGGCCAGGATGCTGATGGCATTGCTGTGGTTCCAGGGGTTCCCGAGGACTTGATCCGTTTGTATTACCAACATGAAACCTTTGGTGAGCGCTTCCGCAAGTTTGTTGATGACCTGACTGAGCAGTATGGCACTGTGGCCGACTACAAGGAAGCCAACCGAACCGGCCCAGGCACCAAGCGTGCTGGGACATCGGAGGCAACCGATTCAGCCAAGCGTGCTCGAAAGGGTGTTGCCCCTGTTGCTGTGGATGAGCTGACTGGGGTGGAAACTCGAAAGGCTGGGCAGATAGCAAACTATCAAAGCTTGCCCAAACTATCCAGACCGTTTTTGATGTGCTGGCTGGCCAGGTGATTTTGCAAAGCATCAAATCTTCTGGCGCCCCTCCATTCTTGTCCGTGCGAACCGGATCTGTGGTGGCACTTGTGAACCCTGCAGACACACCTGCCGTTTGCCTCAATTAATCACAGATGTTATGATGTTTTCATTGTTCTGAGATGGGCGGGCTGTGTGCTGCCTGCTTTGGGGCCTGTCAGGTCCACATTGCCATGCACTCTCTCTGTTGTGGGTTTGGAGAGGGGAAATTCCGCGAAGTGAGTGCTACCACATCACCTTTTGATGCTGAAGCCGAGATTGCGTTTGACTTGAAGGACGCTTCGGACCTGGTTATGCTGGACAATAAGGTTCTGAGCTTGGCTGAGGCCATCCGCGCCAAGAAGGCGTCCACTGGTGCTGCATCAGTGTGTTACCACACCATGCAAGAGAAGCCTGGTGAGGACACCTTCACTTTGCAGCAGGCTCGGCCTGATGAGTCTTGTCTGTTTCCTTTTTTTTGGGGCTAGTCGGTGCTGCACAAGACCCTTGCAGGACCACAAAGTCGTGTTCAAGCCAAAAGCAGGCCAGCTTGGTGAGAACACTGAGGGCGCCGTTGCATCAGCCACTCAAGTGATGGGTGCTTTGACTATGCCATGCCACTTTTGGAGCACCAAAACAAGTGCTGTGGTGTGGATGGTCCGCTGGACCGTGAACGGTCTGAGCCCAATTCGGCCAGTTGTGATCTGGCAGATTGACTCTGCATTGGAAGGTGGCCGTGCTCTGAAATTTGAAGCCGCTGCAGCCTGAAAGGTTTGCACTTTGAGAAGTGCTTTGTGGCTGGCCTGTGTTTTTTGGTCTGACCAACTGTGTTTCAAATAACACCGATACTTTGAAGTGGCTTTGACGGCACAGGCTGGCCAGGGGGACACAACACAGTGGACTCATTGTGGTGTGTGGAAAAGTGTGCTCTCGCCTTTGATGGCTTGTGGGTGGGTCTGGTGTGGTGGTGTTGCTTTGTCCAGTTGCAGGCTCGGCCAGCTTGTTTTCTGGAGCTGTGAAGTCAGTCTTGCCCGCACTCTTGGGAGCCAGCTTTGGAGTACTCAGTAAGTCTGGGCGGCGGTTTTGCTGCCAGCCAGCTTGCTGAAGATTCCAAAGTCTGGGTCCCAGATGTTGCGGGTTGACTGCTTGACCCTCTGCAACTCAAGCCTGGCAGCCGTTTGCACTGTACCAACAATTGTGTTGGTTTGTTCAGTGAAAAGGTCTGGTGGGTGAATATTGTCTGGGGGTGTGTTTGATGCTGTTGTGCTGTCTTGTTCCACTTTCTGCAATTTTTAGATGGAATGGTGCCACCAAACTTTTTCTAAAACGCTTGAGTTTTGAGAATGCCAGTAGGGAGCAACCCCAAATTAACTTTCAATACAAAAAGCACAAATATGTGCAAAAACCAACATCCCCAAATCTAAAAGGCAACAACCCCAAATGCCCCAACTTAGATTGTCCGCTCCCTTTGGTCGACGTCTGCTCCCGTTTCGGTGCTGGAAAACGTGCTCCAACGGGTTCAAGGACCTTAGGTCCGAACGGAAAGATCGAGGGATCAGACTGGGTCAGTGCAGTGCCAGGTACCCTGTATATCGTATACCTATACCAGGACACCCTAAAGGGGTGCCATTTTGCTGGTAAAGGGTGTCCATGAACCACCCTTGGGCTCCAAACCCCAATGGGGGGGTGTCTAGGTATTGTCCTGCCAATATTACATAATCACACATTATGATTACATATAGCTTGTACACGACCTTTCGGGGTATTCCTTCAATGTTCCAGGCCATCCACATCACCGAGCCCATCGAGGGAAGCCCAGATTGATGTCAAGATCTAGGCGCCCGATGACTCGCTCTGACCGGCTCCGACCGGAGTCGCTTCCAGTGCCGAGTCATCAAGGCCGATGGTCTATGGCCTCCAACCTAATAGCGATGGCCTCCAACCATGACTTACACCATGGACCTTGTTTTGGGGGCTGGCTGGATTGGCTACCTGGATTGCAGATACAAAGGTTGCCCTTAGTAGGCTCCCAACAGATCCCCTTCAAAAGCGGTTTGAAGTGTAGTTTCGCATAGTTTCACACGGGTCTGCTTGCCTACCAAGCATCTGAGGGACCCTGAGGGACCAAATACGACCAGAATTGGTCTCCACTTTACCCTTCAGGTCCCGACGTCGTCTTCCTACCTCTAAGGAAAACATCTTCCAAGTCTTGTATCAACGACCTAATCACCAACTCTGAAGGTTGCCGTTAGCTCCAACAATCCCAGGACCAGCTCCAACTCCGGACTCCATCACCTCGACAAATACATCTTCCAACCCAGCTGGAACACACCCAGCACCACTCCTGTGGCAGCGGTGCCACTGGCAGCACTGTGGCCAGGGACCCTTGCTGAGTGCCCAAGCCCGCGCTGGCCGCATAGAGGGGCGCGCTGTTGGGGCTGGGCAGCAAGGCCACTAAGATGAGATCCACTAAGACCTCTGCAGATCAGCGGTTCCAAAGGTTTTGAATCCCCGACTCCAGATGTGGGCACCCCCACTTCTCCAGCACCCCGACATGGAGGGAACCGTGGGTGAATCGAAACTCCGTCCAACGACGAGAGGAGAGGTCATGCGTTATTTCCACTGGCAACGGGAGTCTGAAGCCACCAAACCACATCCCCAAAGCCCAAAGCGTTCTTTTGTTTGAATACATATGCCCAGCCTGCTCGGGCACAATGACGCCGATTTGAAAGACATAGATCCGGCCTGGGCACCGTTTGAAAGACATAGATGTCCAGACCGGAGATGAGCCTTTTTGGAATCTGCATTTGAACACCTAATGTTGTTTCCTGTGTATAGTGTATATATATATATAGTTTGTTTTTATAGTATATTTCAGTCCCAAATATTATGAGCCAATGTCCAAACCTCTTGCGTTCAATATGACGTTGCTGCAACTGATGGGATGGTGCAGCCGATCTCTGAACCACACGAGGGTCCGGTTCTTCGGGATGTCTCCTGCACTTCCAAACACCCAAAACAGCTGCTGGAGATATCAGGAATAGTTTCAGAGTAGATGGCACAACCCCCCAAAATGTCCTTTGGTCCATACATGTCCATACAAAGCACCTTTTGGGGAGTGTGCAATCTACTCTGAACCAACTGTATTGAATCAGCTGGGAATCAACATAATCAACAAACATTAAAGAAACAACACAACCTTATCCTTGGCAGTGGAGTATGACCTTTTTCTGCAGCCAATATCAAATAGATTCAATTAGCACATCCTATATCCCTTGCCATCAAGCAAAAAAAATAAACGTACCCACTGCAAAGAAAGGTCGGACAATCAACAGAACCACCGCAAGCCATCGGGCCCCATCGGGTGGGCTACTCCGATGTGCGCTTCCAGTTTCCCATCTATACTCCACAGAAAGCTTCCTTCACATCCCAGTGGACTACAACAACAGAAGCCACCTCTAACCTTGCAGCTGATGACCCGCAGCCGCCAATCTAATCCATCTGCTTTGCATTCCAATAGGGAATCGGACCCCGCCCTCAGAAAAGAATAGGTTGTGGCAGTGGTCTGTTTTCCGAACAGGGGGTCTCCCTATTCCAACAATTTCTAACACATCCATCTGTCACCACCAGCACCAGCAAAACGGCGTCACCCAGTGGCCTAGCTCCTCTGCCATCAACGGCAGCGCAGAGGGCATGGCCACCACAACTCGGGAGGTGTCCAGTGGCGCGCAGGTGGAGGGTGGCAGCACTGTGTCGCCCGGCTGCAGCACTGCAGAGCTAAAGGAGATGCAGTTGCCTTAGCAGTCAGATGACACGGACCTAAAGGACCGAACTAGACAAGATCGTCCGAGGGACCTGAGGCCCGTGGGTGAAACCCACGTCTCAAAATGAGGTTCGAACAGGATTGAACCACTAGCATGGTCAATATGAACCTCTTCCTTGCCACTTGGTCATCGATGGTTTGTATTTTGGGAGCTGGTCGGCCCCTTTGGGAGCCTTGTGTGGGGGGGGCAAAACCTGGACATGATACGTTTGACATCTTCTTTCCTTTTCCTTTTGTGCATCTCCTGAGTTGGAAGGACCACCGTTTTGGCCCGAAGCTCTGACATGCCCCCAGGACTCCAAGCACCCCCAACCTGCTGAGGATGTGGTTGGAGCCCTAGGGTACAGTACTGCACCTCAACCCCCTCCGCTTGGAGCCGAAGGGATCCCACCTCCGTCGGAGAGGCGGAACCCGGGCGCCACTTCGAGGAGCACCGCGCGCACCGTACCGTCCGCTCCTTCGAGAGGGTTTCTGTTCTCATGCAGGATGTTCGTGAGCAGAAAACATGGGCGACATGGAACAGCCCGACATGGAACATCTATAGCGTCTGGGTGATGGATGTTCATCCACTTACTTGGCCAAAGAGACGAGCGATTGATAATCAATCTTCTGCCGTGAAGCAACAACATATTCGAGGGTGCGGTGCTTGCACAAAGTAACATGGAAGTAATGCCACCAACCCATTGAGGCTTAAAGCAACCTGTAGCGGGTAAGGGTTAAACCGCTCGTGTATCGGTAGGCTCTTGATAGACCATTTCTCATCTGATGTCTGATGACATTGAAATAGGTAGGGCTAGGGCGAAGCAACCGCTCAATTTCCAGTCTTACTACTTTCACAAGATTCCAAAAGCCAGTGACATGCCAGTGAATACATACATACACAGTGGTTTTGTGTTCTTCCCTACGGTCATTTCTTGGCTTCTGTACCAACCAATTGGTACTTACATGTTTATATACTTACCAATCCAGTACAACATTCTTCATTTGGTACTATTTGGTTAAACATTTCACTGTTTCACACACACACGCGTGGGCGCACTACTCATCTGGAAGCCTCTGAACGTGCCAATTCCATGCTTCCTCACATCCTTCGACTTCGTTCGACTCTCCTCTGGGCGCTTGGAACCGCACCGTCACCAGCGTTGCAGAGGCTGGGATCACCTGAATCGTTTTCACAATCCGTGTTGAACGAGGTCGGATTGTGGAGCCCCCAACATCCGAGGTGTTATGAAGACGTGAATTCTGGGGCTTCCATTGAAAAGCACCCAATGATCCCACTCTGGCGCAAGGGATAGAGCGAGTCTTCTCCCCTCTTGAGGTTCGGTCCTGAGGATGTGATCAACCATGTGGCTCGAGCAAGAAGGACTTCGTGGTGAGCACATGTTCTGTACTTGGTCAAGTGAAACAGCTGTGAACAGCTAGTGTGAACAGCTGTAGAACCGCTAAAACGAAGAATGTACGAAGGCAACTGCTGTAATTAAACCTGACTCCTAAATCAACCCAAAAATGGACCCTGAACCACTAGATGGAAGTTAATCTTGATTGAGATTTACGTGTGATTCAACTGTACCGTAACTACTGTACTGCAAAAATTGACTATACTGTCACTGATCCTCAAATGTGCTGTTGAATTTGCAGCGACTTGGCAAAGCAACCTGGCCTCCGCCGGTGCGCTCACTTCCAGGTACGCCAAGGGCTGTGCCAGTTGCGGCGCCACTAAGCTGGGCTCAATGCCCAAAAGCCGCTGGGATGCGGTGGCCACCTCAGGACGCATTGTTCCTTTGAAAAATCACAAGCAACGACCTTTTGAAATGACCCCGGAGCCGTTTTTCTGAAACAATTCCATGTGAAAACCTATTCATGTAGCCTTCACCAATCCCTACAAAAGGTTTAGTTTTGCAGCTTGTCCACCTTTCCTGGGTAGGTTTAGGAAGGGATATAAACTCCAAGTGGAGTCAGGCGGTGCAGGTCTTAATGTGTTTTTAGGGCGCCGTTTCAACAGGTGCTCTTCATTCCGCAGGTCACGTGAACCAAACAAACCACCCGAGCAAGAAGTAGCAAGCAGCGACTCATGCGACATGTAACGTAATCATTGGGTGACATTGTACATGCTCTAGTTATATGACAAACATCACAAATGCTTCTTTCCGGTTTGGTCTTTGTCTTCCTCAAACACCATGTTCTTCAGGACAGCTAGAAGTACTGCATGAAACGCCCAAGCCAGCAACCTGGAGCTAATCAACACTGCCTAAGTATGCCTTTCTATGCGCTCAAACTCCGACACTGGACAGACCTGGCAAATGCAAAAACCGTCCAGCGACATGTGTTGTGGTCCTAAGCCTCCCAAATAAACAAAAAAGGAGCTGAAAAACACACCCACAACATGTGCTTCTATTTTTCTGTGGCGCATCCTGTGGACATTAGCAGGCAACAACAGTCGGCAGTGGCTCACTGGCCAACTGTTTAACTTCGTTGAGGTCTCCAGCCTCCTCTGAGAAGGTGGCCACAAGTAGAAGAAGTGATTACAAAAATAGAACCAGCGCATACATGTTTGGTCCCAACAAATAACATCAAATAACTTGAAAACACACAACTCAATGTGGAATAATTACCGTGCTTACAAACACACGCACACCGAATCTCTACAAAACGGTGCATATGAAACCAATCCGTGCTGAAGCCGTATGCCGATCCTGCGAGCTATTCAGATCGGTGACAAGACCATAGATCTCGAGCTCAAAGGTACCTCAACATACTGTAGCTGGAAGGAAATAGAAAGTTGGGCTTGGGATGCCTTGATATGATAATTTGGATACGATTATATCATGGTTTTTGCATGTTGTTACCCTTAGCCAGTTGGGATACGACGACGACGACGACGACGACGATGATATCTCAATGTTTCCCTGTCACCAGTTCGTATGATCGTGTGGTATATCCAATGAGTGACTTATGTTCTGATTCGTCCCCGCCGATTGAAATCCATCCTGAAAACCGACGATCCCAGTTGAACATGTTGGAAGGATTAATCCCAGTCGATGGATGTGCTGGACTTTGTCAGGGGATTCGACCCCGTGACGGTTCGTTCGCGGACGAGTCGGTGCGAACATGAACAGCTATGGCCGCCCGGGTGCGCAGGTTCATTTGCAAAGTAGGGTATCTGTGACGGCTGCAGGTACATCGATCAGAAGGTAGATCAAAATTGTAAGACTTGCTGACAACCAGAAGGTGGATCAGAAGGTATAGTCCTCCAAGCAGGAGGTAGTTCGAACTTGCTGACGCCCAGCCCGGTTCCCAGCTTCCACGGAGGGACTGAGCCACCCCCCAGAACCTTGCCCGGAAGCGCCGAGGGGCGTCCAGTGCCAGAGCTCGGGGGGTTGATGCAATAGAGGCCAAAGACATAGGCCTCTCCTGCCAGCAGTTGAGGTTGATAGGGCGCGAACCTGGGCAGGGCATCGCAGGCCGGAATGAAACCCGGCGGAGATGAGATGCATGCAGTTTGAAGATTTCCATGAAATTGCAGGTGGGTTTAGAACATGTTAGATGGCTGATGCAATACTCATTTTACTCCGGGAGAGAAGTCCATTTCTTATCGTCTATAGTTACCTATACACTCAACTCAGTCTTAGCAGGTCCATCACTTGGCCAGATTTGTCTACATCTGTCGACCATGCAGACAAACAAAAACACACAGAGGGTTGATGCTTTTTCTTGGTTCAACTTTAGACACCCAGTCTTACCACCTGTCCAACGCACCACCCCATTATAGTGGCTCATGTAAAATCCAAGAACCACCCCGACCCCCCTACAAAATATCGTTTGATGAGCCAAAGAGACCCAAACCATGCACAGTGCCATGCACATGGATGGCCTCCAACCTGATAGCCATGGCCTCCAACCTGATAGCCATGGCCTCCAACCTAATGGCAATGGCCTCCAACCTACTAGCCATGATAGCGAAAAAGGCAAGAGCTGCACAGTACCATGCACAATCATGCACAGTTTGGCACTCCGAGCAACAGCAAGGGCTCCGGCAGCTTCATCTGTAAGGCCGAACCGATCAACGAGCACTCCGTCTCCAAGGGCCTCAAGAGCGTGGGAGAGAGCGTGGGAGGTGTCAAGAAGAGGTTGTTAATGGGTCCCCTTTGAATAGGATAGTACGGCAAACAGGAGCTGCTTGGATCATGTTTGTGTTTGAATCAATCCTGCATCTGTGATTTTCACGTTTTGCTGTTATCATGGCTTTGTTGGCACCAAGCAAGACAAGTCAAGAGGAGAACTAATGTTTAGTACAAACTCAATGTTCTCCTTGAGAGGTCTCAAGATTTCTTCAGATGAGCCATCTCTGTCCACCACATTGACATAACTTTCTCCCATTGATCTGCCAACCCCACCCCCCCAAACAAACTCTTATATAACCCCTTTTTCAAAACAAACTGACACAGCACACCCCGGTTCACCGATTCGATTCCGGTCGAAGGCACAAGGATCCACGGGGCGCAGTGCTGCCGCGTTCGCTGCAGCTCAGTTGGAACTCGGGAGGACCCCGCAGGCGGAGCTGGGCGAAGCCTGAAGCGCTGGGCACTGGTGGGTGGGTGGCGCTGGGCACTTGTGGGGGGGGTAAGAACCTGAATGAGCTCTATTTTGGACCACCAACCACCCAAAATATGGTCCAACTTCCTATCAAAACAGGGTCACTCAGGTCTAGGTGTATATGTTATTACCTTGAGTCTCCAATGACCCCTTTAAATTTGCCTTTCCAAGAAAAGAATGTTTTTTGAAAGAAAGCACTCTTTTTTGCATATGTCACGAAATGTTCCTTTTTTGTTTGTGCCCTGTCAGATCCTCCTTAGACAGTGTCCTGAGACCTTTTTTCGGCGTCCAAAACGCCTCTTTTTGCGTCCAAAAGGCGTCTTTATGCGTCCGCACCGGACGCGTCCGGATGAAGATTCACTCTGTACCTTTTTTGGAGTCCTCATCTCTGAAAATGCGTTTTTTCGATCAAAAACGCAAAAATATTAGACCCAAAACAGAAACACAGAAAAAAAGGTCTTTGGAGACTCAAGGTATATATGTTCTAGTTTGTGGTGCCCAGCAATGGAGTATGGATTTGGCTTCTGGAGTATTTTTGGTATTTGGTATGTATTTGTCTGGAGTTTGAGGGATGGTTTTTCTATCATCTCATGAGGCGTTTGGTGGTATTCGGGGTGGACCTCGAGGGTCCAAAGCACTCTTCTCAAATTATATAACAAATAGTCAAGAGTTATACTAGAAAATATGGGAACCAAGATCTGTTTATCCTGCATGGTTTTTGCACATACAATCTTGCCTTTGATGATATCATGATCTTTCTTTTCTTGGGTGTTGTTGTGTTCTGCGGGCAAATCAAGGTCAAGAAGTTCTGCAGGTCGCCGGGTGCCCTGTGGGGTTTATCCCCTACATACATAGAACCCATACTGGAAGATACTTATGGTTATACTATGTTGTAATCCCCTCTAAACCATCCATTGTACTCAGAGTTGTTGTAGATCAACTGGTTTCGAGGGTCAACTGCAGTCTACACTTGCAGACTACACATCACTGCAGTCTACACTTGCAGACGCCATGTTTTTGGACGTTTTTGGACGCCAACGTGTAGACAGGCACAATCCAGGCCATGCTCTGAATCGCACTGAGGGGGAGCGAACGACCATGATGTACTTTTGGGAATAGAAGGGTTGATGTGACCGGGACCATTTACCTATTGGTGGTACGCGACCGGGGATATCCCCTCTATCAACCAACCAACTCATATAGCTATACTATATACAGTAGCTACTTTAGTAAGATGCCATCCATTGGAGCTTGCCGTCCTTCCACACCATCCCGACACATGTCAAGCAGCCCATCACGTGAACCGGCGGAGTCATCTGCACCAAGATGAGCCTGAGCTTCTGGCAACGTAAAGAGCCTTACATGTACTTGGATGTGATGGTTTTCTCCCCCCTCCTCTGGCGCCTCTGGCGACAGTTAGCCAAACTTTTGCGGAGTGATCGGAAAATCAACTGATGATTTGATGGTTTGATGCTGGATCTGCGTGGAGCTGGGCTCCAGTCGGGATCTTTTTTCCTTTTGGAGCTTGGTGGAAGAAGTGGATCGGAGGGACTAATTCGTAGCAAAGACTTGTACTCCAACTCTCGAATATCCATGGTCTATAAAGGTGAAGAGTGATTTTATATATTTTATGTGATCTTACGGGGATTCTCCATGATGGGAGGTTTGTCTTGAAAGCCTCGGGTTCCGAGGCTCCCACACCATTGGTGTGGCGCCAGGAAAACAGCGGGTTATACATCCAGTTGCAGATGTACTGTGAAATCGCATAATCTATGAGTATAGGTACTTACAACCAAGTGTTTCCCAAAACCGATTGGAATCAAGTGGACTATTTCACCTCGCTAGGAAGAACATATCACATTTTTGGTCGATTGGGCCTGTTCAATCAACATGACTCCAAAGCCAATTCAACCTATGATCAAAATATATACGTATCACAACCCATGGTTCATGCACTTTCCAGACCATCCCTCACCGACTTGGGTGTCACAGTCTAATTGAGATCTTTCGTCACCCAGGGAGTCTTCGGAGCTCGGGATCCTCGAGAGGAGGATCCGTATGACCGCTCGGCTCGCCGGCATAGGCCGGTGCACCCCCGCCCACTGAGACTCGTCTCCCGCGAGACGAGTACTGCTGATCGCTGGTGAGGTACTGCGTGAGATTTTGACGCACATCGCTGGAGAAGAGGCCCACCTAGCAGTGACCGTTGATGAAACCTGGTTCCAACAAACCGAGTTCCAGCGTTCGCCAAGCAAATGACACTCGTCTCCAGGGTGGATCTTTGCTTTCTTCTGCTTCGACTGAGAAGCTGTGCTAGAATTGTCCAACAAACGATTCATGAGAATAGCCAGTGGCCAACGCCTTGAAAGCTCTTGAACTACTAAGTGCTCTAGCTGTGTACTTGACCTGAGGGGAAGATTCTCGACCCCGTACTTGTAAGCCAGCTACACAAACCAATGAATATAATCATGAACAAAGGTCATGGTTTCAAGATGTTTCAAGATGTTATCTTGGAAATGAGATTGTGTTTGCTTGCAAAAACGTTTTTCTTTTTCGTGGACCAACCCACCTCCTCTGGGACAAAACACATGGGACTCGCCATCTTTTTTTTTGTCGAGGCACATTCGACAAGGAGTACAGGTCGAAGTTCGAGATGGACCGAGCCAAATGCAAAGTCGAGGAATCCCTCTCAGTGGAAAAGGTCCACGTGTTGTCCTCGGAGTCGACTCTTCTGCCGCCGAAGGTGTTCCCGATTTGTGCGGCAGAAGACATGTACAGGTGGAGGATAAGGAGCCCCCCCCCCCGCTTTTTTGAGGGGGGTAAAGGGGTTCATAATTGATGACCCACCAAAAAATGGGATGTGTCACGAATCTCTTGGGGGTGGTTTACCAATCAACGGTCGACACTTCTAGATTATTGTGGGCAAACAACTGCCACCTCGGACACTTGAAACATCTTAAAACCCTCCTTCGCATTTCATTATACAATATAGATAAATACAATGTGACATGTGACATGTGCTCCAAATTTAGAGGAGACGTTTCCCAGCCTAAATGGCTCTGAAGAATCTTCCTCCGGGGTTCACGACTGCAAGGATGACCTTGCCAAGTAGCTCAGTGGCCGAGTCTTTTGAACATGGCAAAAGTGCTGCGTCAGTCAATGACTTGGTGTGCAAAGATTGACATGCAAACCTCAAAGTGCAAGCGAGTGTCCACAGCGATACCCAAAGGATTGGAGAGCCTCAGAATCAAAAAAACAACTTTCAGCAACCAAGCATCGACCGTGGAAGTTTTCACGGTTTCTTCGGTTTCCAACGATCACATCGTTCGACTCCAACGACTCCGGTGGACACGTGTGGTCCGTGTCAGGCCTCACCGAACGTTGCGACGTCCTCCGTTGGGTACGGGCCGACTGAGTCCAATCTGAGTAGGTATGCAAAAGGCCCCAATGGACCTGGCAGCATTCATGGTGCTGTCAAGTGCCTGATCAGTCACGCTACTGTACACATACAATCTGGCTGATCAGTCATACGTCTGTGGTTGTGATCAGTCATGGTCCTATATAAATATATATACGCTAGACCTCCATGGATAGAAAAGCAAATTCCCACGTTCAGAATGTGTTGGAAAGCGTGCCACTATCTATTTGGGATCTATAGATGGATCATAGATGGATGCTGACCAACGCTGTTGGCTCTTGTGCTGTTGAGGAAACTCAGGGCCTCGACCTGCCACGACCGAAGAACTCCGACCGTGTCAAATCGGACCATCCCCGCCGATCGACTTTCCATACCTGACAGGTGAACTCACTTCACTTCCACTTCCTATTTCAGGGAGTGAGTACAGCTACTTCCAGGTGCTCCAGCTACTTCCAGGTGCTGCAGCTCCTTCCACACACGAGGAGAAACGCCCCAGCCAGCCGCATAAAGCCGCGCTGCCGGAGTTGGAAGTGGTAGGAGACGTCCAGGTGCAAGGTCTCGGTCCTGACGGCGCAAAGTCTCGGTCATCCCCCAGTGGCACCACCCCTGAGGGCCGTTTCGCAGTCCGGACTGTCCCAAATGGCGGTCGTGTCTGGGTCGGTGGCAAGGAATCGATGCCCACGGCTATAAACTATATACAAGCAGCCCAGTCACCAGCTTTGGGAGAATTTGGGGCAAACTCCTTTCCTGGTTTAAAATGGGCTGAAATGCATCTAACATGTTATATGTTTGTAATTATATATATATATATATGTGTCATCATGTCCAAATGGTTGAGGATGATGGCACGGTCACTTGACACTCGCAAACCAGAAGTTTGCTGAACCTTCTGTCACTTGGACGTCACGTCTCAACGCCCCGCAACCAGTAACATGCGTCAAACCACCAGTTTTTTTTGCCTCAGCAGCAGGTCAGTCGACCTTGCTGGTCTATACCAGTCATTGTGTGCTTCTCAGTTGGGCTTGGTATCCTTTCTTTTTGCTTCGTTTTCCTTTCTTTTTGCCCTTGCTCTGCGTTCTCCGTCGGATCTGCGCTCTTTTCTTCGTTCCCTTTTCGGGTTTCAACTTCCAGATCTCATTGCCGTGATCCTACAGACTGACCGGAAGGGACATGGGACATGGGTGGGTTTTGCTTTTCCACTCGTGAGGTGTTGCTTTTGCTCTTGCACCCTGGTCGACCGATGGTTTGACAAAAACATGCCCTGCTTGATGGTTTTGTTTTGTACCCTCCAGTGAATCATAACAATATATATAACAATAGTGTTCAGAGATGTCTTTAATGATTTATCCAGACTTGGTGTCCAGGTGAAGGTTTCAGGGTGAAGAAAAGCCACTGCCAGCTCGCCCGCTCACCAAGCCGCCGTGTGACCAAACACCGAACATCTCCAGAGCGCTGGCGGTCGACCGTGGGCGGTCTTTAGTACGTACACACCCCCAGGTGTGGGATGCTGTCACAGTGCCCGTCTGTTCCACAAAAAAGGTGTAACAAATTCAAAGACTCTCTGAGCAAATGCAGGTCTTTGAGGGATTGAAGGATCCAAGGACGGATTTGCTGTCCAGGAACCAGGATCAAAAACAAAATGTCTTCCCCATCGTTCGCGGATTCACCCGGATTCAGTTCTCTGACTTCGGGACAGGGAGCCTCCTGAAGAGGTCCATGCATCTGTCGGTGTCTTCTGTCGGTGTCTTCTGGGGCCCAGGCAGGTCAATCAGCACAAGATCTTGCTGCAAGCGGCAACCTGGGCGATAAACATCCATGAACCTAGCTCTACGCCAGTAGATACCTACCTAGGTATCGGTACAAGACGGTACAAGTGTGGAGCCAATGACGAATGTTCTGATTGCTTCTGATCCTCTCTCTGATTCCAATCCTCCCCTTGATCCACTCTCCCTATCACAAGTTTGTCACACAACATGTTTTTCTATTATATCATATGTTTAAATACTCGATTACGTGATTTGAACAACAACACTAAGAGACGTGCCCTTTCATGGTGCTCCACGTGTAACCAACGGCCACTTTTGGATTGCCCAGGTGCGGGAGGAACTGGGCAAACCCCGTGGAACGAAGCCATGGCTTTGCACCTGGCAGGTTCGCGGACGTCATAATCGGTGAATGTTTTGGAGAGGAACATCCTTTCTACTAGTAACTTCTTGCTACTATAGTAGTAATGCCCTTGTTTCTAGTAGCGATGCCCTTGTTGATAGCTTCTAGCTACTAGTAACTGGCAAAGACCCTGATAGCAAACAGTTTTTCTCAGGCCATCAAACTTCAACCATGAATCCGGTAGGCATCCAGTCTTCAGTCGGGATGTTTAGGGTTAAACAGTTGTCAATATGAAAAACACCGCAGCAACACGGCAGCAGCTCTTCAACGGTGCCCCACCGCAGCGAAACAACCACCTTTAATGATTTTTTTTTGAATTGGGACGTGGCAGCGGCGGCAGTGATAGCCGACAAACAAAACAACGGCAGCCAGCAAAACAAAAGCAACGAAACGCGGAGAAAGATCGCCTTGCGATCGAAAGATCAGCCGGGCGCAGAATGCGGAATCAGTACTGTTTGCAGTTGGAAGCAAACAATTTGCAATGAACGCTTGACAACAAAACAACAGGCAACAAAAATCACGGCCAACTAAGAAAACGTTTGCATGTTCTTGTAGTCTGGAGTGAAAGGTGCATATTCGTTGATGGATAACAATGGAAGATAATGAATGTTTCACTTTATGGTCGGTGCCTACCTTAAAAATGCAACTAAAGTGCTGGCCACCCACTGCATATTGTAAATGTCCCCGTTTTAGATGTCCTCCTTTCAGCATAATGTTTCACCTCGAGTGCCACGGTTTGAGGTGTCTAGTATGCAGTACCCAGCATGGCAAAGTGCAGCACACGGCCCAGGCCTTCCCCACATTGTAGGTCTCGACACCCAATTGGCACCACCACCTCGCGCGCGCCGCTCTCGCGGTGCCGCGGGCGTTGGAATAGTGACGCAAAGTGATCGTTCAGGGTTGGTCAAAACAAACATCCCAAGAAACGACAAAACAGTACAGTGTTCCTTTTTTTTTTGAGGTCATCAATCTGTGGGTTGCAGTGTGCACGGGGCAGGCTTGGGCAGGCATAGATTCATGATACACGAGCATGCCAAGATCATCCAAAACCCAGATGAATGTAGTTTTGGCTTATTTACAACTAATGAAGACCGGGTGGTTCAAAAACCATTGGCAACATATTGGCTGTATTGGTGAATTACGTGCTTTGCAAAGGAAAAATACGGGCTCTGAACAGATTGGGTTTTGGAAAAAATTGTTTTCCTAAGGCTTGGTTGCACCTCAGACTTCTTGGTTGAGGCCAAAGATCTGAAGGGGCCAGCTGACTCGCTTCAATGAAAGGCCGAGCGCAAAAACACCAGCCAAGATGCAAGTTCTCTCCCAAGAGAGATTGATCAACGCCGAAGCCGCCAGGAAGTTTGATCGCCTCAAGGTAGGGGCTTCAACTTCCGCTGCTTTGGTTAATTCGGGCAGGCGTCGCGATTGGGAACGCTGGCCCCCCTGTTCACTCCAACTTTGGCATCTCGCTGCGTGCAAGAGAAAAAACAACGTGCAACTCAGCCTGAAATCTCAATCTTTACAGCATGCTCGCACGCGCGTACCATGATGTCCTTCATCTGGTGCGCGGGTGGCCGACAACATTTCCTCATCATGCTGCCCGTGCGTGGACGACACGAGAATTCTTGCTGGACTCTGGACCCAGAAGCTTCACCTTCTTTCATGTTCAACCATAAAGCGCGGCAACGCAACGATACATGAGGTCGTACTTATAAGCATTTGTAGCTGACAGCGGCGCCGGCGGCCAGGAGGCGGTCCAAAAAGAACTTGAGTGAACGAAACCTATCTCTTTCTATAGTTCCCCGTTCAATACAGTAATGGCTGCATCCATCCAAAGGGTTGGGAGTGGAGATGTACCAAAATTCAGATCTTGAAGCCCAGCCCAGCCGGTAAAGATGAAACTTTGGTAGAAAGTTCAACCCTGACCCCGACGTAGACATCTTCCAACTTTGATCAAACAAGCAATGGGATGTCCGGGAAAAACGGTCACCGATTTTTGGCATGCGTGCGGCTAGTTCGTTGCTATTTACAGTACAGTACTGTATGGGCCTTGAAGTGCCAATTTCGTGGTAGGTGCAATACTTTGTGGACCTTGAAGTGCAGAGTTCGTGGCAGGCGCTGCACATTTCGTGGCAGGTGCAATACTTTGTGATCTTTGTGGACTTTGTGGACCTTGAAGTGCAGATTTCGTGGCAGGTGCAGCACTTTGTGGGCCTTGAGGTGCAGATTCCGTGGCAGGTGCAGTACTTTGTGGACCTTGATGTGCACATTTCGTGGCAGGCGCCGTACTTTGTGGACCTTGAAGTGCAAATTTCATGGCCGGTGCAGTGCTTTGTGGACCTTGAAGTGCAGACTTCGTGGCAGTACTTTGTGGACCTTGAAGTGCAGATTTCGTGGCAGGTGCAATACTTTGTGGACCTCTCCCAGCTTGAACCCCCATCCACAACCACCACCATCACCACGATCTCCACCTTCATCACCACCATTACCTCTCTGGACCCCAATGCGTCTAGATCTATAGACTTTCTGCTGCTACACCTCTAGTCTAGACCTCAAACACATTGTTTGGGGTCTCTTGCCGGGATAATCATTTTTTTGTGCAGTAATGGCACTAGGCGCTAGGAATTGAAGTTCCTTTGACATGACTGCTGCGCCGGTCCAAATTTGCTGAGGAGTTGCAGGTCATCAGGATTTGGTGAGTGTATGATCATTTTTCAAGTCCGTCATGTTATTGTTTTTTGGTGAGTGTCTTATCGCTTTTGAGCGAACCATGCATGTTGAAATGACCACTGCCACTCACTGACCATTTGTCACTTTCACTCATTTTGAGCCTAGCTCATATGCAACTGCAATGGCGTCCCCAACACTACCCGACCAACAATTTTCCAACAGCAGTTGTACAATGTGTTGAAACTGGTTTTCTTCTTGTTTAGTTAAACCCATGCGACCTCCGGAACTTTGGATTGGTCAAGAACTCCAGCTACCCCCGACCCCCACGGGCTTCGCACAAACAAAAAAGCCCGACCGACCGGGTCCGGTGGCTTCACCCAACACGAAGCAGCTCTTTGGTGGTGCTGGTGCCGCCCACCGTGAAGCGCCGCGGAGCGGCTAAGGTGGAGGTTCTGCCGTGGAGCTCGGTGCTGCCCAGGATCACCTGGCGCCGAGTCGCTCGATCACAAGGGCCGAGCAGGTTCCTCCGCGACAAAAGACGGGCCGTGCATTCTGCTGGGTCTTGAAATGCACCGAAGGGCACAAGATACTTTGGTTCAAATGTGTTAACGTTGTTTGCATCTCCAAGTTGTTTGTCATGGATCCATCTGCAGGTGGATTCGGAGGGTAGAGTAAAGCACAAATGTAGGAACTAAGTAAGGCACAGTTAACTGACCTTTTCAGTTCCATGAAAAACATCATTTAAGTGGAAAATCAAAAACGAATACCGCCAAAAAGCTCAGAAAGTAGGCTTTAAGAACGCCTTGAAGGACTATGAGGAAGAACCTACACCAAGCAAACACGATGTGGCCTAACACCTTGTGTGGCCTGATTCTGCATTCACCTCCCACCCCAATGTATAGTGGTCCCCAAATAGATAGTGGCACGGCTTCCAACACATTATTCTTAGTGCGGATCTAATGTTCTATCTATTGGGGGTCTATATAGGAACGTATGGCATACATTGGCATACATGGATTGTCTCGCAAAAGGTGTTTTTACAATAACACAGCCATACCCTCCCACAACCGCCTGCTTTTCAGATCACGGGTCTTCCCATATTACTAAAACATACTAAAACCGTCTTTATGTTGGTCAAGGATGATCCAAGTCCTGGCAAAGCCAATGTTGGATGGGTTTGGGGGCTTCCTTGCTAGTTCTCCAAGTTAACATCATAACCCTCCCTTCTTCCAACATGGATCCTTTCTGATGAGACCATCCACGCTTCGGCATCGCCTGCACCTCCACTTCGTTGGGACTCCTCCCAGGCAAGACCTCGTTTCTTATGCAGCCCATAACACCAACACAACCAACAAACACCGAGAACGGGACCCTCCAACCCCCACTCTCCGACATGTCTTACAGAGACTCGACATGGATGACGAACAGTGGTATTTCAAACGGGAACCTCATGAAATGTCGCACAAGAGTCTGGTCAACAACTCTCTTTGTGATCACTTTCTCCTGGTCCAACCAGTGGCTCAACCTGGTGCATGAAAACTGCATGCTAGATAGAGTGTCGCTCAGCCTGCATCTTTTCCCATCTTGTCTGAACATTTCAGAAACGGATTGGGCGAATTGAACGATGCTCATGATGCTCTCTAAAGCGAGGTCCGCCAGGCGAGAAACGGAGATGATACAGTTCATCAACCATTAAAGCCGAGGTCTTTCGTGACAGCTCGACGTCGGTTTGGGTCGAAGGAACAAGTTGATCGCCGAGCAAAGTGAATCTCAAATGGATCTGTCGATGGAATCAACTTTCTTCATGTTTTTGTCTTCATCCAGGAAGCCGCTAGACCCGCCGTCCTGCCTTTCACTTCAAAATGCGAACAACAATCACATGAACAAGACAACACATGCGACTTGACCTCGACCTCATGCGCCGTCCAGTACTCCCAAATAGTCTGTTTCAGCCCATTCATAGCCATAGCGCCGACCCGCCCCTGACCCGCTTCCCACCCCGACTCAACGACTCAAGGCGCTGAAGAAGGGGAGATTTCCACCCGCTGGAAGAAGGCTTCCAACTTGAAGGCAGGAATCTGGCGCCGCGCGTTTCGACCACCCGGTGGCGGGTTCGGCCGAAACGCCGTCTCCCTTGGGGTGGGGGAGTGAAAAAGCGGGCTCCGCCATGGCGAACCCGAGGTGACCGGAAAAAAGACACTCGTATACCCTAAGGATCCGGACCCTCAAAAACAATGGTTTTGAGGGTACAAACCCCTGTTTTAGAGGGTTCGAGCCCTTAAACATGGAGGGTCCAAGGATCCATTAGGGTCAAAAGGATCTGGAGTCCAGAGATTCTCGTTCATCCATCCGAACGGTCCTATGACCTATGCGTCTGATCTGCGGGAGGATCCCATCCAGTCGGTCGCACGCACCTGCGACCTCCAGCAACCAATGGAGTTGTTTTGGAGATGAACATGGGGACTGACCGTGTGGGGTTGTGTGTCTGTCTGTCGGTCCTTCTTTTGGGACCGCTGGCGACTGACGGCTTTCTTTGGTCAGCACAGGGCACAGGTTGTCTGTCTTTGACGAAAGGAACGTGGCAGGTTGCTTTGAATTGGGAAAACACTCGAGGATCTGGTCTGCACGAAGCCAGAACAAAAATTGAACCTTCCTTGAACATTCACTTAGCTTGTTGGTATGTCTTGGGTCCTATAACCTCCTGCGTTGGATACAAGACTTCACGAGACTTAGCACTTAGCAGTGTGAAACAAAGCAATCACCTTCTCCCCTAATCGAAGGGCCATTCACTTATCCACATCGTAGTGTCAAAAAGGACAACTGCAGGTGGCAGGTGGTCACAAAACTGCTGTACATGCTCCCCCCAAATCGTGGATCTTCTCCGTGAGCCTCCCCAAATCTCCGACCACGCCGGTGTTTCGCTTGTTTTCGACGGAGTCGACGGAGTCGGTGCACCCGAGTGTTGGCCGAGACCACGCGGCCGCGTTCGTAACACCACATCCTGGCCCAGCGTGGAGAAGATGGAGACAACGAGATGTACAGTATGGTAAAGCCATTCAATTAACCAACATCTCAGGAAGGCAAATGGGAGATGTACACTCCCTACTTGAGCCTTAGATGATCATGGAAAATGGACTTCACCACCTATGTTGCATTCGGAGTATACTAGTATCTAATATCTTCGAAGGACAGTTTGGTGGAGTTCACCACTGGTGGGTACTCGGAAAATCGAATATCTTCAAATTGTAGTTTAGTGGAAAACAGGCTGTTGGGTACTCGGGAAACTGTATACACCTGATATTGAATCTTCAAGGGGAATTCTTGATATGTGAGTCTCATAACGCATCTTAATTCCTTCAAATGGACTTGCCATCAAACACTTGGAAGGGGTTGCCATGGCCAACGGAACTTTTGCACTATATAATTACACCACTTGCGGATGTCCATTTCACACGACTTGGATAGTCCATGCAGGTATCAATACTGCATCCGTTGATTGGCTTCTGAAGCTGCGCATTCATTCCAAGACAAGCTCAGGGACATGAATACCGCATTCTACCATGTCGACAGAGTGTAGGGCTTCAATGGCTTCATCACTTCCATGCCCCCCACCTAGTTTACGCCAGGTGTTTCGAAAGAATCTCCGCCCTTTAGTGCGTTGGTTTTCGATCGTCTTGGCCAAACCAATTGGGATCCTTGATCCTGAGACGTCAATTGCTCGGTGTTCGGCTCCACCAGAGACGCGAGACTCGGGAGTCGAAAGCATGGCGGCAGGACTCCCAATGTAGATCTTCAGTATGATCTGTCGCACGGTGGAAGAGAGGTAGCTAAGCTAGAGGACAGGCGCCTGACTAGCCTCCTGACTAGCATGGAATGCTGAAGTTTCAGGGCAAGTTTTCTGTTTGTGACAGCTTGTCAAGAATATGATCTCAAGATGAAAAAGAACAAACACACCCCATCGCCCCACTCATCATCCGGGACTCGAACAGGTCACTGGATAAGGAAAATAACACATACATACACATACTGTAGTGGGCAAAACAATAATATATAATTGACGAGCCCAAAAAGAACTGATCGAGAGGATGATTGATTCAGCTTCGGCTCAGCGACCGTCAACCTCCTTTTTTCAGGAACCGCGCTCTTTCACTACAGTTTATAGACTCTCAAATTCTGCACAGGCCGGTAGATTGAAAACTTCCTCGAGATGAAGACCAGCATGGTTCAACTCCGGCCAGGTGTCAAATACTGCAACCCTGCAATCAAGCCTTCGCGCATCTTCTATAATTTTCTTCTGCTTGATTATTGTCTCTTCAACAAGGTGATGGTGAATCTCTGCAATCTTCAAATCTTCTCATTAATACTCACATACAACTCACCTTCACCACTTTCCATCTGCCCAATCCGTCTTCACCCCGCCGTGACTCTGGTGCCAGACTTCGGACCCATCCCATCCCCGACGACCTCGGACCCCCTTCGCTGTGCGGTCGTCACCTGCGACGCTGGGATTCGTCACGCTGAAGCTGAAGGAATAGAAGTGACTGACCACCAACCTGGGCGCCATCAGGCTTTGTCAAACAAAACGAGAGCTGCTCCTCCCCTTGGGGCACGGTGAACGACGACGGAGGATGCATTGTGTTCACAACTTGGAGACCAAGGTTTCTTCAGCTATAAATGGTTTGCAGGAAACCAATTGGTTTGATATGCTTTGCATGGGGTGTTTATTTCATCTATTGAGTGGGAATGGCTCCAACTGTCGGTCTTCCTATAACATCCACCTGGCACTGTTGCTCCACCTCCCCACTCGGCCTTTGGCTCGACGGCCGCAGACACGTCCCCGGGCGCGTCCCCGGATTCTGTTTGATCCATGACGTGGCGCCGCCTGGGTTCCTCACTAAGTGCAACTGAAACACCGCGACTGTCAATCAAAACAGTTTTTCCCACCAAAAATGAATAGACTTGAATAGACTATATCTGGCAGGTCAATCCACCCCGGTTTGGGGCTCCGTATGCTTCGTGGTTTTGACCCACGGTCATATGTCGTTCACTCGGAACAAACGCATGTTCACCTCGATGGGTTGGGCACGGGCTCGGCTTCTTGCCCAAGGCACGGGTAGACCAAGGAGATGTTCAGCCGACTCCAAACCTGGGACGCTCCGTTCCGAGCGAGCTCGTCTTCTGCGTGAGAGCTCGTCAGCTGCTCACAGATCTGGGCGAAAGCTGCAAATGAGCTGTGTTATTTTTTTTGTTATTATTTTATACAACTGGCTCCAAAGATCACTATCATCCATTCTTCGTCCAAGTTCCATCCCCTTCCCCTCTCAATTTGATTACATCATGGCCGGTTTGGGCGCAAAGAGGCTTGTTACGCGTACAATCGTGTACATATACAAATGCATTCAGCTCCTATGTTTTTTGATTTGTATTTAACTTCATATTTATTCCAGTCTATGAATGCAAAGCTGTACCACACACAGTAGGCACCCAAAGTATGAGTTTCTTTGGAACAGGTTGGATTAATTATGCCTGTTGTGAGATATTCCTGTACCAGTATTCAGTCTTGTTGTTCTCTCATTCTTCCCCAGTCTGCTCGACCTCTCTGGTTGTTCACCGCTCACTTTCTGCCGCTGCGACGATGCTCGAGAAGCCCACGTCCAGGTTCGCCACCTCAGTGATGCCAGGCAAAGCGAACCAGGAGACCGGTTCGCCCGTGCGCGAGGTCTCGGGGAGAGGTCTCGGGGCCGCAGCTCTAGCAACTGGCGAACCGGTGTAACCATGTCTTTTCGCAGTGTCGACCGGTGGAACATGGTGGAACCCAGCGTACATATCTAATGGTGGACACGGCGCCATGCGCCCCGCGCGTGTTTTGGTATTGTTTGGATTTGTGTCAGGTTATAGTTCAGATTCATGTCATCAGTCATGGCGCTCGTTACCGTCATGGTGCCATCACTGATATCCTCCAGTTGACCTAGCTGGTGTCGTGACTCGTGACCGGACACGAGTAGGTGGAAAAGGGTCTGTAGGTGTTGACCCACCTGCGCCATCCTCTGGAAAACCACATGGAAAGTCCAGAGGTTCGGACACTATGGTGGAAAATGGACGCTTTTCCATGTGGTTTTCCCCTTCCTCCATCCTCTGCCTCCCACACACCTGGGAAGCCGGTCGCTTTGGGGCGGCAAGTTCTCTCGGTTGAAGGTCTCCGGGTCCAGCACGAAGAGGGAGGGAGCTAAGACCACCAGAGAGCCTGGCGCAGTGCCAAGACTTGTTGGCAGGGGCACGCACCCAGAACCATCAAACACCTGAGGTTCACTCTGAAGATCTCTGGTTGTGATGAAGCCATCAACCAAAGGCTTGAGTGGCGAAACCACTGCTTGTGCTCCAACTGCCGAGTTGGATCAACTGGAATTCTGCTAGTGGCAGAGTCCCTCGCGCGCAAGGGCGCAAGACATGTGGATCATCGAAACACTTTCTGGATCTTGGACAACTTGAGAACTCACTTGAAGCGGATTGGAAGATCCTTCAAGTGGATTCATTGCAGCGGATTGGAAGAACCTACTTTCCTCAGTTGAAGCGTTCTTTTTCCAACTGAAGAATTCTTCAAAAGCTCCTAGTCCTAGCCCTCCTCAAACCTTGCTCGAGCCATCTGCCACACAGCCCAGTGCCCGGTTGATCGAACTTCTCCCAGACCTCCAGTAGACATGCTGGCACCCTCAGGCAAGCGGAAGGTCATTCGTACCTCGAGGTGCCCGGAAACCGACTGCAACAGGCAGAGACTGGGGGAGGGAGATGAATGGAAGGTGGGAGAAGGAACTTGGAGATCTTGGAGGGAGCAACTGATACAAAAACCACTCCTTCTTCACTGTTCCAACTTATTGGAGCAGTGGGGTGTATTTAAACGAACAGATACTTGCTGCACCTCTGGGGCAACTACTTGGTTTGGCAAGGGGGCAAAAGGTAACAAACTAAAACATTCCGGATCAACACTCCCTTCTGGCCCAATTTCTTCGGTCACCCTCGTCGCCACTGCCGATTGATAACCCAACCGATCTCCCATGTGTTTGTACTTGCAACTTTGGAACTATGAGGTTCATTCTGCCCCTGCAGTTTTGCAAAACATGCCGTTCTTGAACACCACCTGGAAACACCTATATAAGAACTTTGCTGTTCCGCACGCCAAGAAGTTGGATCGGACCGGTGCTCGCCAGAAATATGCAGTAAATTAGATGGTAGAAACATTTAAAAACACAATGAAACACGTTACATATCCAAGAAACAGTTCTGAAACACCCATGGATCGGATTCTTTCAACCTTTGGCTTTCCTTTATGTTCTACATACCTCCATACCTCTCCGACTCCCTCCGACTCCGTTTCTCTTCCGCTGAGGCGACCCGCGAAGTTGTACTTGTATCCGACCTCTGGAACGGATCCGTAGAGTCCAGCCACCTGGCAGGTGCCCTGGACTCCGTCTGGTCATGCGTTGGGTTGTTCAAGTCCAGAACGAAGGTTCGAGGCGGCGGATTGGTGGTTGCGTAGGTTGCTTTCTGCTTAGTCGATTTGAGGCTGGCAAAGATTTGGTGAAACTAAGATGTCTTCCAATCTCTGTCCAAACTTATACCGGATTGCCCTCTCCTGACCCTTTGCTTCAAAAAGGCAAGAGGTTCACTCATGCAATCGGTTTCCTGCTGGGACTAGGGATGCCACCACTTGAGTTGGGGCATTTGGTATGTTTTGATGAACTTATCCAGACCGAAGACAAATCATGTTTCATACACTTGTCAGGTATTTTTTGATGGTTTTGATTGTTCTTTTTTGACAATCCTCTTCAGGCCTGGGGGTGAAATAAGAATCAAGAGTTTCCATTTGGCAATGCTTGTCCTTGCACAGCAGCTAGACTGCTGAGTCAAATCGCAAGACTAACAAACAGGCGTTGCCCCAGTTACAGTTGCTGCATTTTTGTCAGCTGCAGCCTCAACAATCGCACAACTTCCGAGTGGCCGTTCTGGGCCGCAATCAACAAAGCCGTTGCCCCTGTTGTCGTTGCTGCATCTTTCTCAGCTCCAGCCTCAAGCAACAATCGCACAACTTCCAAGTGGCCTTTGCGGGCGGCATAAAACAAAGCCGTTGCCCCTTCTGTCGTTGCTGCATCTTTGTCAGCTCCAGCCTCAAGCA